GCCATACCACACAGTGATGCAGCTCGTCAGAATGCTCTCGATGGTGCCTCTGTAGAAGGTGCACATGATGGGGGTCGGGGCTCTGGCTCTTCTTAGTTCAGTAGTACGTATAATTACACTGTAAAATAAAGTGTAACCTTTTTTAAAATAAATACTTACATGTAATAAATAAATAAATACTTTAGAGGGGGTTAAAAGCTATAATTGGCATCCTGCAAAACAATAACAGTCCAGTAAATGCATCTGGACACCAAGCATCATAAGTTGAGTTCAGCACGTGAATGAACGGGAAAGAAAGATGCATGACCAGAAGAGAGAAAGTATTTGGCGCGTATAGCACAGTCTCATGCGCAACTTCGCATAAAATATCAATAAATAATGTGAATTTGAGAACATTTCAGGTCACAACCCACATATAGGGCAACCACGCACATTGAGGACAATAGCAGGCTGACCGTGCTGCACTCTAGCGGCGGAGAGAAGAACTAGCGAGGAGCTAGTCACATGACCGACACTACTGCTGCATTTCATTACAACCACTAATAATAAGACTGGCTATGTTACATAGAAATATCTAAAGAAAAGCCGAATATTTACATTTATAAATCTAATTATAAATATCTAGTGTGTGTGTGTGTGTGTATAGTTTTTATTTTTTAAATTTCCCGTTCTCCCTACTGTTTACGTTCACTTAAGACGTAATCTACTGTGTTTACGCGAATACTAGTCAAAATGGACAATTCAACATCATTTGTGTAATTCTCCATTCATGCGACGCGAAAGAGTACTCGTGTGCTGTGAGTGTATGCTTCAGTGTCTGCGCTCTGAAAACCGGACCGAATTGAGTTCTCTCTTGCGTCGTCAGATTTATCCATATGTCTGCGTTTTTTGCGACGTGCAGCAAGTGTATGTTAGCTTATGTCCCGCCGGTTCATATGTACGCATCTAACCTCCGAACCACGCAGCAGATTCGTTCTGAATGAATCTCTTCCCAAATCGTCCCTTCCTAACATTTTCGGCTCGTTTTTATTCGTTGACGAAAATGTCAATAGATTTATGTCATAGTTTTTGTCATTCAAAAAGAGTTTTAGTTCGTTATCGTCTCGTTGTCGTCTGTGAAAAAAATTTAATTGACGAAAATTATTCGGCAACGAAATCAACACTCTTATTAATCAACAATCTGGCCTTATATTCGTGATTTTTAGGGAAAATAATAAAAGTTGTTGGGGTTTTACTGTTTATAGTGTTCATTTCAGCTGGAAACTGTATGCTTGTAGAGTACAGACCAAGTTTTGTAGTTTTGCAGAAAAATTTAAATATTTAAAAAGTCTGTTTTTTTTTATTAAGTATGTATTGGAATTTTTATTTTTTTATGTATTTTATTTTTTTTTTTATGTATTGATCTCCTTTACTTCCTTTATTACATTTTCTGTTGTAGAGAAAAAATAACGCTCAATAACTTATCCTATGCTGACCTCTAAAGACACCAAGGCTGTGTCTCCCGCCCCTGTTAGTGGTTAGCATGATGAAAACTACCCCTCCACATTAGCCTCTCCCCCTGGAGCTCTACCGGTAGATTCATTAACACATTAACACAGAGTCTGATTTAAATGGATCTGCTCTTATGGGCTAGAATCTATTAGAGCAGACAACCTCTGTCACATCTCCTCAGCATCTCATCTGGCTCTCATGACTCCTGACAGCTCTGGGAAAAAGAAAAGTGGCCTCCAGTAATGAAGAAACACTTTAACTCAGCAAGTCTGTGCAGTAGGCATACATTTATGCAAAGTAGCTGCGTTGATAGGACCTTTCTGTTTTCAGAAGGCTGGGACTACTAGTTTAAACCCCAGTCGCAGCTTCGCTTCATTTCACTCTGGCAAAACAAATTCTTGTTTGGAGCAGTCGGCCGCTGCTTGAGTTGGTTGACTGGATGCCAGTAGTAAATTTATTGAGTGTTCAAATTATCCCAGAGGTTCCAGATGCCACTGGGGGGTGGGAAGTATGTTTTTTGACATGCTTCCTAGGGCTTGAAAAAAAAATCAATGTTGGCCACATTGTGGTGACACATGAAGATGAAGATATTTATTTACAATGTTCTAGCCGTAAAAGCATCTTGCAGGAAACAAGCTATTTATTTCCTGTTGAGAACTTGAACAACATTAAAGTACTGCTCACATACTCTGGTCTGGAATGCTGTGAAAACGTAGATATCCCCACAATAACAGACCAGCGTGCAACCAATTAATCATTCATTTATGAAGGTCATGCAAGTTTACAGCAACAATGGAGCACAATGAATGCCATGAATTCCAGTGTTAAGTTGATCTGATAAGCGATCATTGTTACAACTGTAAACACAACGGCTTTCTTCTTCCATGAGGGAGTTTGGCATAACAACAGCTTTATTTCCAGATGAATGATACACAAGTCTCCTGGAAAATTCAACCAATCAGATTATTACTTCAAAACTCCCAAAGTATTTTCCATTTTGTTTGCCTTTTGCACATTCAGACATTTAGCCAATGGCCTATGAGCATGATGTCTGCATTCTTGCAATCTGAGTATTGGAAATATGTGACATTATACGGTATGCGATATTATTTTGTATATGACAGTTTTGAACATTGTTATAGCTGACCCATTACATTTTGCCAACACTCTAAGATTTAGGTTAAAATGTTCACTGTAGCGGGAATGTGAAATTACAATTGGATAAAATGTATAGTTTAAAGGTAACTGGTCACAACTGGTCACAAAAAGTTAAAACAAGAACAACGCAGTTTACTCCAGCCCAGAATAGTTGGCTGGCCTTTTATCATGGCCCAAGTTTTTAGTCTGGTTTCCTGCATGGTTTTAAAAGGGCTTTGGACTAGAACATTTAAGACCAGAAAACCACCATTGTCTAGTTTAAGCTGTTTGTTTCATCAGGGCAGATTCCCTTGTGATAACATCCACACAAATAAGCAAAGCTTACTTTATGATGTTAATCTCTTTCTATTATAGAGGAGTCATACTGTGGCAATGAGTTAATGAACACCAATGTAGTTCCACATGAACATTAAAAACTTAATTAATAGTAGGAGGTAAAACTTTCCCACAAACTCAAATGCTAGAAAATCTTATTTACTTCCCGGTGAGGTCCTGATGAGCAGCATTTTAAAGAAAGAGATTTCCAAATTAGATTTAGTTACTCCAGAATACTAAACACATTTTAAATTCATAACCAGTCTTTTTGAAAATAGACATTATATTGCCCTATATATACACACACAAATATATATATATATATTATATATATATATAGTGTCCGTATATAGCATGCATATATATATATATATATATATATATAATATATATATATATATATATATATATATATAGTGTCCGTATATAGCATATATATATATATGCTCAAAGCAATATATATATATATATAACGTTCAAAGCAAGACAGGAAACCTTCAAGAAACCTTGTAATACATAAAAAAAATCGAAAACTACGTAATGGTCACATCGCGAAGGCGGCATTTTGTTATGGTTACAACTTCACGCGAACTAATTTATGTTCGTTGTTTATTTGGCGGTGATTACATTTACATTTAGTCATTTAGCATACGCTTTTATCCAAAGCGACTTACAAACGAGGACAATAAAAGCAGTCAAAACTAACAAAAGAGCAACAATATATAAGTGCAAATGACAAGTCTCGGTTAGCCTAACACAGTACACGTAGCAGGGTGTATATATATAGGCTACATATATATATTATACACACACACATACACACACACACACAAAGAAAAACGAGTAGATAGAATAGAAAAAATAGAAAGCTAGTGTTTGTTTGTTTGTTGTTGTTTTTTTAAATAAAAAAAAATAATAAAAAAAGAAGATAGATAAAGTAGAATTAAAATAGAATAGAAAGTGTTAAGAGTTAGAGGGTCAAATAAAGGTGATTAAATGTTAAATATTAAAAATGTTTTTTTTTTTGTGTGTTTTTTTGTTGGTAACACTATTTTAAGTTGTCCTTGTTACACATCCCTGCTGAGAAAAGAAGAAAAAAAGACACCAACAAAATTTGTAATGGTTTGGTTATAATGGCAATTGTAGGCTATTGGTTTTAATGGAAACTGTAATGGACCCTGTGGGTCTCTACTGGTAATTGGTCGCCTTCTATTGGTGGCTTGTTTAAACCAATAAATCCTAATGGAATATGTCCCAAAACACACACACACACACACAAAACAAACATTTTTAATGGTTTTAATGGTTAAAAGTTGATAATTTGTAATGATTGTAATGGTATTTGTAGTGGAAACCATTAGATTTTTTTTGTGATTGTTTTTTTTTCAGCAGGGATGTTAGGCTACATGTACTTACCATTATATTAACAATAAATTATTCATAATTACATCCAAGTAACCCTAAGGCAAACCCTAACCATATAATAAGTACATGTAGTTAACTCAAGTCAAGTCTGCTTTATTGTCAATTCTTCCACATGTACAGCACATACACACAGAGAATTTAAATTGCGTTACTCTCAGACCCTTGGTGCATACAGATAACACTAACAGTAGAACATAAATACAGATATACAGATTAAATATAAAATACAACTATACAAATATACAAATAAGGTAAAATGTAAAAAAAATATAAAGAAATATATATATAAAGCAGCACAATGCACATGGCAGATAGAGTGCAAACCAGTGAAGTAAACAAC